CAGTTAAGTCCTGGGTTATGGAAATCCATAGCCTCCAGGGCTCCAGGTGTCTTCATGCGATTGAAGGGGCCTCTCTTCTGCTGAATAAAAACATATAGATACAGAAATCATTATAAATTGTGGGTCTCCAACACCACAAGGCCAGCAAGTGGCCAGCAGAGGCCTGCCCTTCACCATCAGGACCTCCCACCACCTCTCCACAGCAGCAGGGAGGGAGGCAAGGTCCTCCTCGGGGTCTTGTCACTTCAGGCACTGCTTAGCAAGGGACAGTCTTTGCAGACACTCCAAGTCATGGCTGGGACAGGTAACAGCAGGACTCATAGACCAAAAGCAGGTATCAGGTCCCCTAGAACCATGAATTCCCAAAACACAGTCACCTGGATGGCTCCTGGAGCCCCTGGGTGTACAGTGTCTGTCTCTGAGCAGCCCTGAGTCACTTTGGCCTCCCAACCTGATCACCAGGTTACCCCCACGGCAAAGTCACCAAGACACAGGACAGACTGTATTTCCAACTGTGGGGCTCTGGGAGAGATAGATTCATCACCAAGGAGTTTGGTTTACTAGATCTCCATTCCAGGATTCCTGGACTTGGCCTGTTGTCTAAACTTTTGAAGGACCAGCATTCGATCCCACTGGACAGAGTGGATTTCACTTTCTACGAGGCTAAACCAACTTTTTCCTCTCTCAAAGTGTTACCTCTAGAGCCCTCCACAAGAGGTGGGGTTAAGGAAGTAAGTAGCTCTTCCCTGAGTCAAAGCTGTGGGGTTCTGACTTTGGGGAGACTCTGCAGAGGGCTGGAGAGTTCCATGCTGGCAGGGTCACATGGCTCCATGAACTCTGCTGGAGGTTCCAGGCAACTGCTTTGTCCTGTAGTTTGACAACTGCTGCCGGGTTAGATCTGGTACCCTAGGCTGCTCCTGAGACTGGGGCACGTACTACCCTCCAAACAGGCTGCCCTGGTCAGACTGAGCTGTGAGCAAGCAATAGTTTGAACGTATTATCTCCTTCCAGAGATGGAGACGGGAACCTTGGAGGCAGCTCAAAACACCCCAAGATCAAGTTCTCAGCACAAAGGAGATTTATTTGCCCCAGAGGGACAAAGGGCAGGGAATAAGAGACAAAGACAAGAGACAGAGGATGAGAGAGAAGGGGAAGAGAACAAAAGGAGGAGGGCAGGGGTATTTGTTCCAGAGTGGAGGAAAAAGGACTGTCTCTGGAGAGAAAGGAGACAGACGAGGCTCATAGGAAAATGGCAGCTTATAAAGAGAGATGGGAAGCCTCATGTTGGCATGAGGTGTTTCATTTTAATTGGGCATGTTAATTAGGTGAGCCAAAGGGGGCTTTGATTGCTGAACTTCAATTCTTTGATAAGTGGACCTTAGTAGTCAGACTCAGGAGGAGGAAGCAGCCAAATAAGGAACTAGACCTTGGTGGTTGGCTAGTTTTAGGAATATAATCTAATGGTTTTTAGCAAGACAGAGGGAATGGGGAGAAAGGCAAGGCCTGCCAGAGCCATGCTTGCTATGCTCAGGCTGGCTAGATCCCTTCAACAGGTCCTTCCCTTGGCGGGATCATGGGATCTTCCCAAGTCTCTTGCCTTCTCCTTCAACATGTCTTTGAGTAGTAAGAGGGTTAATATTGTCAACTTGTCAGTATTGAGGATCACCATGGAAACAAACCTCTGTGAGAGATTATCTAGATTAGGTTCATGGATGTTGGACCATTCCCTGGAAATGTGGGCGGGGCCATTCTATGGGCTGGAGTCTGGGGCTCAGGGTACAGAGCTAACCCATAGCTTTCCCCGCTCTCAGCTTCCTCCCTACAAAGGCAGCGTGGCAGCTGTGGGGAAACCTTTTCTGGAAACACTCTCGGCTTCAGAGGCTGAACTTTTGCCGGCCTTGCAACCGAGTTAATAATATACCTGGAGACCACTTAGAGCTATGTACTTAACCTGTTTCCCTCTGTGTATCCAGCCTGTTTGTCTTGCTTTAAGAGAACAGCATAGCCAAGCTTGCTGGGCCTTGGACTTGCCCTGTCCAAGCTAAACTGAGTGCACGGTTTTACTCTCAGACCATACTCCCTCTTTCTCTTTTGTGACTCTTTCATGACCCTAAACTGTGGTGTGTGTGTGTGTGTGTGTGTGTGTGTGTGAGAGAGAGAGAGAGAGAGAGAGAGAGAGAGAGAGAGATCAGTCAAATCATCAGATGAAAGCGGAGCATTGAAAACAATGATTTAATTGTCCTCCTAAATGATGGAAACAGCGCATAGACGCAGGTTGGCAGCATCTGTCTGCAGTTTGGCGTGCTATTCTGGGACGCTAGGGTTCAATAAAGTCAATTCTTCCCTTGTAAAGTCTGGTTTAAAGGAATTAACTCGGGCGATTCCTCAATCCTTTCCTATGCCGTGTTTTCTGTGTTGTTCAATTAATACAGAGTTAAGCCCTTAGGGGCAGACAATGGATGCAGGAAGAGAAGTCAAGAACTCCCATTTGGGATCGCTCTTGGTACAGATTGTCCCAAGAGGAAGACTCTCATCTGAGGTGGTACTGTCTCAACCAGCTGCCCCAAGCTTCTGTTGCCATGACTTCCCCACCGTAAGGGACTGTGCCCTCAAGCTACAAGCCAGAACAAACCCTTGTTTTCGTATTGGGTATTTGGTCACAGAAATGAGAAAAGTCCCTAAAACTGTGGCAAAGCATTAGACGCAAGTGACTCCCTCCATGACTATGTATCCTCCCGGGAACATTCATGATGGGACAAGGGGAGCCCATGGGTATGCTGACCAGGGCAGTACAGACCAGGGCAGCCTGGCTTGACACTAGGAAACCAGTCGAATAGCAGGCTTCTGTACTTGATCCAGTAACTCATTTCTGGCTCTCCTGTTATGAAACAAAGCAGAAACCTCACCAGAGCATTTGACTGTCCATTTCTGGTGTGGATATTGAAGCTAACGACAGTTGGTTTCTTTCAGGCTGCCCCGTAGTCCCTACTCAGATCAGGAGAAAATCCTGCTGATTGTCCTATAACATGGTGACATCAGGACCTCGGGTGGAAACACATATCTTTCAGCTAGTTATTAAGAGGTCAGTCACAGGAGATAAACAGTGGGGAGTTCTTTTGGGGGACTATGCAAAAAGTGATGCTTCAATTCCATGGGTGGCCTCCAGGGGGCAGCATCTCTCTAGAAATGACTCCACAGCATACTTCAGAAACACAGCAGGAAGTAACACATTTAATTAATTGGCCAATGAATAAGAGTTACTTTTAGAAATTGCTACATAATTTTAATACTATCTATCATGTCAATATGTTTCCAGTGAGTAATTCCAGCCCTCCAGATTTTTATATACAGATGCTGCATGTGCATATGCTGTGTTAGGTATGGTTGGAGATAACCCAGACTTGTCTGAGGATGGGCAGTACCAAGTGAGAAAGGGAGGTAATGAACTAGGGAATTGGTTGGTGCTCGTGTCCAGACCCCCTGCTGCGATTTGAGGCTGTCTCCTCCCAGACTCTTGTTAAAACCTAATTGCTATTACCACAGTGTTAAGAGTGGGACCTCAGAGGTTTAGGGGGGCTCTGCAGGAGCGAGGCAGCATGGCAGCGGGTTTTGGAGGCTTTGTCTTGAGACAGGGTCTCAGTGTGTACCCCAGACTGACTTTGATCTCAAACTTGAGGTGGGCCCCCTGCTTCAGCCCCTTGAATGCTGAGATTACAGCCCAGTGGCTTTCCTGCCTCATAAAGTACTTAGTCTGGCTGGGTGCCCTCAGGAGGTGGAAGCAGGTTACCCTCAGTGACCCTGAGTTCAAGGCCAGCCTGGGCTGTAGGACCCTGAATAAAAACAGGATACAATACACGCTCGCAGCTGCTCTGTTATAGCAGAACTTTTTTTTTTCTGGTTAATAGCTTGCCCAGGAAAATCAAAAAGCATTTGAAATTTTCCCCAAGAGCAAACTATTATTAATTCTTTAAAAATGAACAAAACAAGTAATCTTGGTTTTATAAATCTTCATTTCAAAATCCATTCCACATACACATATTATCTAGACGAGCGCCAGGTCTATGCGTGTTTATATACATTTAAAGCTTTGTATTTACACACAAATGCACTGACTCCGAAGCACCCTACCTGAGACCACCCCCACCAAAAAGGACTGCTGAGGACAGGGTAGCCTGGGCCTTGGCAAGGGCTCCTCTCAGGGCCTGCTTCTCCTGTCCCTCCCTCACACTTCAGTCTTTCAAAATATGGGTGCCTTTGTCCCACTGGTGTCTGAGCACCCAGCCCCTTTTAACCACTTTTTAAAAGACTTATTTATCCCATGTGTATGAATGCTTTGTATGTATGTATGTACATGCACCGTGTGAGTGTCCGGTGCCTGTGGAGGTCAGAAGAGGGCGTTGGATCCCCTGGCAGTGGAGTTACGGGTGGTTGTGAGACACCATGTGGGTGCTGGCAAGCAAATCTGGGTCCTCTGTAAGAGAACCAAGGGTTCTTAACCACGGAGCCGTATCTCTCCCCCACCCCCGTCTTGTTTGGAAAGAATGATAGACTCAGGCAACTTGTGAGGGATGGGCCCCGAAGACTGTCACAGAGGAGCATCACATTCCACAGTCCTTGGCCTCCTGAAAGGTAGAGAGAGCTCTTCCACAAAACCTGCAGGCTGGTGTTAGTGCCGCTATGACAACAGTGAACCAACCCGTGGCTACTGGCTCACCGCAGACCCAAGTTCCCCTGTGGTGGGTCCACGGCTGCGCTAATTCACTGAGTGAAGCATCTGCAGGGAGTGGAGACAGACAGGTGAGCCAGCTGGGAGGGAGGCACAGCTCTGTGATCTCTGGGCAGCAGGACCACATTAGCCTGAGGCAGCTGTAGCTCTGCCTGACTGTGGATAATACAGGAGCCTCGGCTGCCTTGCTCCTGATCCAGCTGTGCGGACTTCAGGGGAAAAAGCCGCCCCCCCTCCCCCCCCCCCCCCCCCCCGCCCCAGTCGAGGGCTCCCACTCAGGGCTGGGAAAGAACCGAGTGGGATCACATGCTTCTCCTGCTCCTCTTACAGGTTGTTGAGGCTGAGAAGATCACTTGCAAATAGGAGAGCAGCCCCCAGGAAACAGATACCGCAGAGAGGGTGTGGGTGCTGTGAGCCTGGGGTTGTGTCTTAGGGCCTACTCTCCCCTCTCCAATGACATGGAATAAGTGAGGGGCCCGGACAAAAGTTGCAGAGAGGAACAGGGGTAAAGAGAGTTTGGGGGTGTCCCGTGACCAGGGGCAGAGCAGCAGGATCACAGATGGGTATGGTGGGTACCAGGGAAGTCTTTCAGTCCTCAGCCAGTGCGCAGGCCCTGCGTGTCCTTGCGGAATAAACATTTCTTTTCCTGACCAACGGACACTACACATGGTCAGGGCTCATCATGACAGCCAGGTAGCACCCAGTCGGACCCACCCACCCAGTGGAGACCCAAGGTCAGGGCTTCAGCCTGGAGAGATGGCTCAGTTGTTAAGAGCACACTTGTGACTCTTCCAGAGGACCCAGATTCAATTCCCAGCACCCAAATAGTGGCTCACGACCATCAATAACTTCAGCTCCAGGGGCTCAACACTTCCTTCTGATCTCCAAGGTCAGGACTTGGTGAGGCAGAGGGACGTATCACCTCCTTTGAGAACGAGTGTACCCCTTCCTGGTGGTGCCCTGGCAGAGAGGAGCCAAGAGGAGTCAGGCTTCCCCCCTCCCCTACCAAGGAGGTGGAGGAGGATTCCCATCATTTCCCTCCCCGAGGGAGTGCAGAGGCCCCAGGCTGGGTGGCCATGATGTGGTAGATGGATTCCCGGAAGCGCTGGTCTCGGCTTAGCCGCTTGGCCACCTCCTTTAGCTCTTCTATGTTGTTGGCTTCTAGCTGGGAGGCCATGAAGGACTGAGATGGCTTCACTGGGGAGACAAAGACCCATTGCCCCGTGAATGGCACTTCCCCCATGCTGAGCCCACCCTTCCTCCCTCATCCCAGCCCTACGTGCTGGTGCCTCCTGCCAAAGGCTGGTAGAGCCAGGTTCAAGAACATATCATCCAGCCTGTCTACTTGGTCTCAAACCTGTTGTCTTCCTGCCTTGCCGCCAACAGCCTGCGCTACCTGACCCCGCGCAGGCGTATGAGTGCTCACTGTCATTCCAGGAAGTACTGGACCGGCGACGGTGGAAACGGCAGCTCTTGATGCGGCGAGTGGCTGCCTTATGGATGTACACGGAGTTCTTCATGATGACGGGCATCTTGGCCTCCAGCTCGGCATTCCGGATGCACTCCTCAAAGAACCCTGTGGTGGCGGGAAGGAGCCATTGAGGGTATCTTTTTCCGGGCCTGTCCTTCCCCACCTAAGTGCTCATTTGGTCAGGTGGGAGGTACGTTGATCTGTCCTTTACAGAACACAGTTCCTCCACACACCACACACAGTCTGTAGCCAGCACAGAGAAGATCTGCTGGGAACAGAGCTTTTGAAAAGAGGACAAAACTCCAGGCTTTCCTCCCATTACCTCACCCCAGGCCCAACTGCCACAAAGCGGCAGTGCCTAAGGGACTCCTACAGGACGGTGTCTGGTGTCCATAATAAAGAACTCCAGGAAGGATCACCTCACACGCGCAGGGCCTGTTCCAGGTTCTAATGGGTTTGGGATTAAGGGGCTGAGCTCCGGGATTGGGGCTGGGCCCTGGAGGGAGGCCTTACTTTTCAGGTGGCTCACGTCAGCCCGCATCCTCTCTTCCTTCTCCTTGTTCCGAACCTTGGAATTAAGCCCTTGTTCCAGGCTTCTCAAGGCTGCCTCTGCCTCTCGAAGTCGTCTCTCCAGGTCCATGCGCACCTTCACTTCAGCCTGGATGGTGGGACAAGCGAGAGGGAAGCTGAGTCCAGGAAGCAGTCGCCACCTCCCCCAAAGCCTTCCGTGATGGCTTGTTTTCTTTGCTAATTCGACCTGATTTAGGGTCACCTAAGAGACCCACTGTGTGAGGGCATCTCCAGAAAGGTTTAACCAACCAAGGATGCACCCTGGGTGTGGGTGGCACTGTCCCATGGGTTAGGGTGCCAGACTGAATAAAAAGGAAAGGGGAGAAGGTGTAGATTCATCTCTCTGCATCCTGACTGCAGACACAATGTCACCAGCTACCTCACTCCCACCAGCATGCCTTCCCTATCATGACAGACTGCATCCCCTCAAACCACGAGCCATCCTTCCGTTAGCTGCTTTTGATAGAAATGTCATCACAGCAGGGAGAAAAATGGCTAGTATCCCTTTCCCTATCATCCTGGGCTTAACGGTCTTGGGTGGGCGTTTCCATGTCTTGGTTCCACACCTTACCCAGGACCCAGATGGCTGGCACGGCCCTGTTCCTAACACTTGCCTATCAATGATAGAGCGATTGCTGCCTCCTGTGATAAACCCGCCCCTGAATCTGGCCAGCTGGCCATTCTGGGAGAGGAGTGTAGGGTAGCTGTGAAGAACAGGGACGGGAAGGCGTCCCTGGCTGTGTGGAAGGGCCCAGAGCACAAGGCCCATGCGGGCTGCACACCTTGAGCTCCCGCTCAGCCTGCTGCTTCTCTGCGGTCAGCTCCTGAAGTGAGTTCTGCAGGGCTTGAGACTGGCTTGAGTAGAACTCCCGCTCCTCCTCCAGGGCCCTTGAGCGTTCTTCATTCTCCTTCATCCTGTGGGCAGGAGGGGAGCTCACCCAGGGGTCGCTCACAAAGGGGGTTGCCCCTGCCAGAGACATGGCTAAAGAAGGGCTGCGTCCTCTCTGGGTCCAGTCAGATAGGGGAGGAGGGAGGTGATGTGGAGAGATGGGAGCCCTAGACTTAGAGGTGCAGGGATTGCTACTTCCCTGAACTCAGGACATCCTCCAACCCCAGTGAGCTCAGTTTCTTCATGGGTTGGGTGGACAGACGCTAAGGGAACCTGCTGGCCGTCCATGGGCACTGCTCTGAGGACTTGATGATGCTCTGAATGATTTGTCAAGTCAACTTTGGGAAAGCCAGGTCATGGGCAAAAAGGAAGTGACCCGTCTTGTCAATGACAGCTGGAATTCAAATCCAGTTGTATAACTTGAGGGTAGTGACAGCTCCCAAGCTGCTGAACGACCCAGTGGTCTCGGGTGCCTCACCGCTTCTCTGCTAGAAGCTTCTCTGCCAAAAGCTCCTGCATCCGCTCTTCAATCTGCCTGAGGTTGCTATGGAGACCATCACTGGCAAGTGGCTGCTCACTCTGATTGGCCGATGGCTGTGGCTGGTTCTTATCTTCCTCCAGCATCTCTAGGGTTTTCTTCTTCTCTAGGGAGAGTTCCTGGTGCAAAGGCAGGGAAGGATGAAAAGGAGCATGGGTTAACCCTCCAGCGTGACTGTCCTGGTCTGCTCGCAATTCCGGGGAGTGATCAACTACTCCCTTGGTCCTCCATGCTGGGCACCTTACAGGCCTCATTCCAAGATCTCCTTTCTTACAACATGTCCTGGCTACTCCTCCATCAAGACAGACAGACAAGGAGGAACCCAATGTGACTTCCAATAGAGATGGTACCTATCAGGGCCAGGTCCCAAGGCCTCAGGGCTACATGACTCTCTGAGGTCCTTGTTCCTCGAGGAGAAGGGAGATGTTACTGGGCTCATGTGAAGATGCCCGAAAGGACCAGCACAAGAGTTCTCTGCACTATCAGCCAGGATTTTTTTTTTTTTTTGATTTTTCGAGACAGGGTTTCTCCGTAGCTTTTGGTTCCTGTCCTGGAACTAGCTCTTGTAGACCAGGCTGGCCTCGAACTCACAGAGATCCGCCTGCCTCTGCCTCCCGAGTGCTGGGATTAAAGGCATGCGCCACCACCCGGCTCAGCCAGGATTGTAACATGACAAGGAAACTCTGGGGTTGGAAATACCCACGGTAATCACTTCCCATGCCAGGGAAAGATAAACAAACCAAGGCTCCGGTCACTCCAGGGAGACTAAAACTCTCACAGCCTTCACAGCACTTCATGGATTCAACTAAGATGTACACAGGTCCCAAGCTCCTTTCAGGTGCTGGACTTCAGGAAATGGCTAAGACACGGCCAAGTGAAGTCCACAGTTTTGAAAATACAACCCAGCGTGTTAATCCTATAACGGATGTACAAATTCATGGGAACACAGAGCAAATACCTGCCCAGAAGAATCAAGGAAGCTTGACAACAGAGATATTTTAGCTTAGTCTGAAGACAAACAGTTGCCAAACAAGAGACAAAAAAGATATACATTGTGTAGAAGCAATGGTAGGGTGGAGGTGTGTATGGGGGTGTCAAAAACCTTGCTTTCCTTAGGGACATGCTCTCAGTAGTTGGAGCAGGGGCAAGGGATGAAGGGGTAGCAGGGAAGGATGGGGGGGGGGTGTTGTACTTGCATGCTATGCTAAGAAGCTAGGCCTCTGTCCTTGACACAAGCTGCTTGCCCCTGCCCCTCCACCCCTGCCCCTCCCAGTCTCTTGTATCAGATGAAGGTGACCTGGAAGTCGATTTCCCTTAATGCTCAGTTTCACCCAGGAGCGGCTAAGTGAAGGAACCACAGAAGGATGTGGTGAGTGAGGCTATCGCCCACTCTGATCAACCCGGCCTCTGGTATAACCCCAGCACTAAGAGAGCAGGTTTCCCGAGGCCGTGGTCATCACAAGGGCAAGCCGGAACGTTTGTTCTGGGTCTGGGAGGAACCAGTCCTGTGCCAGACAGAGCTCCCAACCATCCACAGACAGGGTCCTTTAGATAGACTCTTCACGCTCATTCTCCTGTGGGTACCTTCCCTGGGAGATATATGGGAAATCCAGTATTATATAGCCCCACCCACCAGCTCGCCTCCTGGGCGAGCAGCCCCCTCACCTCCAGCGTGTGCTGTAAGGATTCCGTGAGGTGCCTCAGCTCCTTCTTCTCCTGTTCTACACCCTTGAGGCATCTTGCGGTGAGTTCGAGCTCCCTGTGGGGATGGAGAGCTGGAATGGCAACGAGCACCCTTCCCAGCCTCTGCACTCAGACACCTTCTGTCGTACCTGATGCGGCTCAGCAGGGCCCGTGGACAGCCAGCACTCTGCAACGCTGGGCACTGAAAACAGCTGCTGAGTCAGGGCTGCAAGGGCGGCTCAGCCAAATGAGGTGGGTTCGCTAACCAGGTACAGTAAGGTCCTGCAGCTGGGGCCTTAGCTTCCAATTCAGTGTCTAATAAGTACTTAGGGAGATTCTCTTATTTGTATGCTAATTAGAAAAAAAAGAGTCTCTATTCCTTCTCCCCATATATAACTAAATGACTCCCTTTAATAAGGTCCTTCTGGGCTGTCTCTGATAATCCGTGGTGGTGGTGGTGGAGATGGGGATGGAGATGGGAGGGGGTGGTGATGATGGTGATGATGGTGATGGCATTGCTATGACACCGAGCACCATCCATCACAGATGTAGTTTCCAAATTCTGGACAGACTACATCTGAATCGCCTGGGCTGGGGATATACACATGTCCTACATTCACAAGATTATAATGCAATTAATGCCTAGAATGGGCAACTAGATGGGTAAATAATACATCAGACTAAAGATCCCAATGAGTCATTAACTAAAGTGCGGAAGGACTGCAGGAGAGATGGAGAACGTTGCGGGTATTTTTGGGGCAGCACTTCTAGGCCAGGCCAGTTTGCTGCCAATAACTTGGGTAAGTGGCTCTGGCAAAGGTAGGAGGGGCTTGGCCCGTAGGGGAGGCTGGCCTGCACTCACCCACGACTCACACTCTTGTTCATACCTTTGCAAGAGTGATGGGAAATGACCTGCTAGGGACGGAGAGATGGCTCAGCTGTTAAAGGCCAGGCTCCCAACCAAAATGATAAGAAATGACCTACTGAGGGGGGTGGTTATTTTCTGGGCATACTCGAGATCTGGAGCATATGGAAAGACCAGGTCATAAGTGGTTTCCTGGCAAAGCCCTCTCCAGGTCTGACTGCACATGACTGCCAAGGCTAGAAAATCCCCCGTTATCCCTCACAGGGCCAGGGCATCCCCCTGTTCCCCCCCCACCACCACCACCACCACCGGCATTGCCCATCCCAGGGCCCGGTCAATTCCATCCCTTCCTATCCCTCCCAGGGTCTGGGCATTCCCCGTTGCCCCGCCCCCCGGCATGCCCCGCCCCCGGCATGCCCCGCCCCCGGCATGCCCCGCCCCCGCTGCCCGCCCCCCGGCATGCCCCGCCCCCGCTGCCCGCCCCCGGCATGCCCCGCCCCCGGCATGCCCCGCCCCTGCTGCCCGCCCCCAGGCCCTCGGTCACCTCTTGATCTGCTCTTGCTCAACTCGCAGCTCTTGCACCACCTCCTCGAATTGCTGTTTCTCAGCCTCCAGCACCTGGTTCAGGCGCTCAAGCTCCTGAAGAGAAGAGGAAAGTCAGAGGAGACACAGGGCTCCTAGGCTCAGGACGATCCCTCCTTTCGCTAGCCCAGGGGACACCCCAGGGTTTGGAGCATAAGGACAAGCTTGTAAGTTCCGAGGAGCCCAGGCTCCATTCAGCGCACGCAGTCTCAACTAACCCAAAAGTATGATGAAGCTGGCCGGGAAAACGGTTAGCAAGAGGAAAGACAGACAGATTTAGAAATGATCCCAACAAGGGTCTTCCGACAGATGTGACTGTAATTCTGGATGTTGTTCCACTGGGCAACTCTAGGGGTTAGCATCCCAAAGTGAAACTGTCTTCTCATTTTCCAGTTCCAAATTACTCTCTGGTCACCTGGGGGCTTTGTTCTCAAACAGAATGGCATCCTTGCTAGGGAGGGGCACTGCCTATGGAGGGCGATGTTGCCATTGGCTTTGATTCAGATGGGGAAGAAAATATATAGAGGGGAATATCTGATTTTAATCCCCACACCTAGGTTTCTTATCTGCATAAGTTACTTCTTTCTCATCTAATCTTTCCTGGTACCTGGCTACAAACTGCCTCAGTTTGCTAATGTGGTCACCACCTGGGCAGCTCCCTGGCGTTCTGGTGCCCCTGGGCACATGCCCGGCTACAGTACACTGGGTATAGGTAGCTGAGCTCGTGGGAGTAGCTGAGGCCAATGGAATGTGAGCAGGAGGGCAGATAGCTTTTGAAAAGATGATGCATGGTAGGCTATGGTTCCCCCTGGCATAGGTAGGGGTCCCCTTAGCCTGGATCCCCAGGGATGAGGACAGATGAAACAGAGCTCCGACCAGTCCAAGTAGCTGTGTGAGAAAATACATTTGCGCTGTTAAAAGCCATGGACATACGGGGGCTTTTAGTTACTGCAGAAGCTATGACCTAGCCTATAGCTATATTTGACATATCTTATCTAGATAAGATACAAATGAAATTTGTATTCTTGCAATATACCCCCTCCCACAACTGAAGAAAACTTCAGACCTTAAAAAAAAAACAACAACATACATATGAAGCCAGGCAGTGGTGGCACACGCCATTAATTCCAGCTCGAGAGGCAGAGGCAGAAGCAGACGGATCTCTGTGAGTTCGAGGCCATCCTGGTCTACAAGAGCTAGTTCCAGGATGGGCTCCAAAGCTACAGAGAAACCCTGTCTGGAACCCCCCCCCTCCCCAGTCAGAAACTGTGTCAGTTTTGAACAACCTACAAAAAGTCCCTACCCTCTGTCACCTCTGCCCCTCCCTCAAAGCCACAGATACAAAAACATTGGCAAATAATGGGAGGTTTTGTGGAAATCTTCACAGGGAACCAATAGCAGGGCTCACCTCATTTAGGCAACAAAACTCTGCTCCTCTCCCTGCCTCTCGAGTCTCCTCTGTGCTTGCTCAAACTTTCCCTCCCTTCAACAGCTGCCTCGCTCCCGACCTTTACCACACTTTCTTCCAGGGTCTCTCTAAGTCTCAGAGACCTATGGAACCCAGCCCACAAAATAAGGGCTAGCACACAGTCCTGAGCCAAACAGAAGACCAGCGGGGCCAAGGGCAGCAGCCAGCATCTGGTCAGTCCAGGTTTCTACAGCGCACTTGGAGAAGCAGGCAACCCGTGTTGCCCACCAGGTCCATTTCAGCCCACATCTGCCTCCTTCCCAGCTTCCCTCACCAAATCCAGCTTCTCCTTAGACCATCAAATACGACTAATTTCTTTTCCCTTCAGGTATTTAGAAAGAAACAGTGTGTTCCCAAGTCTCCTGTCCTCCAAGCTAAACACATCTTGTTTGCCATGCTTCACAGACCGTGATTTCTCGTCCTCAATAAAACTAATTACATCCGTGAAAAGAATGCAGCTGCAGGGGCCCCTGCTCAGGAAGCCTTGATACAGGGAGGATTCTTCGCAAGGAATTTACAGGCCCAGTGCAATTCCAGGAAATAGCCCGGTGAGATTCTTTTCTATTCATCCATGCCACATCTATTTACCAAGCGCATACTATGTTCCAAGCTCCTGCTGGGCTCCACATGGAGGATCTGAAGATGTTCTTATGGAGCCCGTGGCCGAGCGTAGCTACTGAGAAACCCTGCCCAGGATTTTAGAGCAAATGTAGGAATCCAGTAGTGCTGAAATAATCAGACATCTCAGAGAGTACTACAAAACAAGATACATGTCCTGCAGGACAGGGACTCAGTTCCAGGCCAAGCTCTCCGGGGTGGAAGTAGAACAGAAAACTCCACGAAGGTTAGAATCTGATGATTCTTGAGCTGAGAGACAAAGATGGGCAGATAAATGGGTTGGAGATTTAGCTCAGTGGCTTGTCTAGTAAATACTGGAGGAAAGAACATTCCAGATGGAAGGAATACATACAAAGAATACATACAAAGCCCCCGTGGAAACACGTTGCCTGGAAGAACTAAGCCAGGCCCAGATGAGACATGAGGGCAAATACGATGGGAGAGAGGCTGGGGTCAGAGAAGCAGGGAGGCTGGTAAAGGAGACACTGGAAGTCATCTCTGACTTGGGTGAGGGTCTTACTGGGTTTTGGGTGGTTTTTTTTTGTTTGTTTGTTTGTTTTCCCTGAACAAGAAGCAAAGAACATTTTGTTGTTTGGTCATTTTGTTTGGATATATAGTGAGACAGACTATCCTAGACTGGCTTTGAATAAGTTCCCCAGCCCAGTCCAGCCTTAAATTCACAATCCTCTAGCCTCTGCCTACTGAGTGCTGGGATTGCAGCTGTGCACCGTTGCAGCAGCTGCAGTGAACATTCTGAGAACAGAAGGATGGTGATGCGCTTTCTTTTCCCTTTAAACACTGAGTTGGCTACTTTGTAGAGGAAGAGACAAAAACGTAGAAACAGTTTAAGGGCACCAGGTGGGAGGTGGCAGCACCAGTGCCTGCTAGTGGTGGCTCTTAGAAGTAGGGTGGGAAAGAGAGGAAGGAGGGAGGACAGGGTGAATGTAGCATGATCCCCAAGTTCCTGGCTTGAATAAACCATGGGTGGTACATACCCTGAGATGGGTATGTGAGAGGAGACCCAGTCCTTTCTAGGAAAGGTAAAGGCAAGACATCTTGATCTCAGACAAGGTGTGCTCTCAGCATCTTTGGAAGTCTGGCTGGGATGTGAAGTCAGCTGTTGGGAAGCAGAGGATGGACGGCAACAGAAGGAAGGGACTGGGGATATCATCCTGGGAGTCATTTGCACACAAATAGCAAAATGTAGTGAGGGACTGTAGTCTAGACAGCCTTAAGACCTAGAGCAGAGAGAGGAGGGGAAGTTCAAGTACTGTGCAAGACAGCACGGTCTGCAGAGTTGCCGGGATGGTCGCACAAGTTCATTCACACAAGCTGCTTGTAATTTAGTAAGTGCTTATCGCGTGCTCCCCAGGCCAGGCTTTCAATCTTAGCACTCACAAGGCAGAGGCACGTGGATCCCTGTGAGTCAGAGGCCATTCTGGTCTGTGTAGTAAGTTTCAGGCCAGTCAAGACAACACAGAGAGACCCTGTCTCAAAATGAGGTATAATACACAGTTTGAAGAGACTATCAGAGTCAGATGGGAAGACTGTTAAAATTATCAGACCAGCGGGGCTGGAGAGATGACTCAGTGGTTAAGAGCACTGACTGCTCTTCCAGAGGTCCTGAGTTCAATTCCCAGCAACCACATGATGGCTCACAACCATCCATAATGAGATCTGGTGCCCTCTTCTGGCCTGCAGGCATACATGTAGACAGAACACTGTATACTAAATAAATAAATAAACTTAAAAAAAATTATCAGACCAGGAATTAAAATCAAAAAACAAACCCAACTGTAGGTTATATACTAAAGACTTTAATAGAAAAAATAGACATGTAAAAATAGATGACTAATATATGTAGGGAGATGGATTTTTATACACATACATGCACACACACAAACGTGCATGAGCGCACACACACACACCAAATTCAAAATTCAAAACACAAGACAATTGGATAATCGCCAAGTATGATGGTGTGTTCTTGTAATCCCAGAACTCAGGAGGAGGATGCAGGAAACAAAGATGATCAGGAGTTCAAGGCTGGCATAAACTACATATCACTCTGCCTCACAAAGCAAGCTAGAAAAGAAAACTCAAAGCAAAATAATAAAGCCACACCAGGAAACAATAAAGAATGCCTTTGCTGAGAGAAACTTCTAACTACACCAGAGAGCTTGCTTGTCATGCCTTCCCACGTGTGTACAGGCAGGACACAGCGTACACCATCAACTGGCAGCTGCCTATAGAAGAGGCCTCAGAATAAAACAGTCCTTTTGACAACTTGATTTTTCATTTTCTAGTCTCCAGAACTCTGTGAAATATATTGCTCTTGTTGAAGCCACTTGGCCTGATTTTTTCATGGTAGATTAAACTGAATAAAATCGATAAACCACACTATTCAATGATGGCAGTATTCCATCAGGATCAATGAACCGCACCATTCAACAAGGGCAATATTCCACATTATTCCCAAGCTCGCAGAGAATAGTCGCCAATAGAGTCTGGACTCTGCAGGAGGAGAACAGCTTAACAAATTTAAAAAACTAGAAACCACATAATGTTTGATTTTAAGCAATAATGAGATTATACTAGAAACTAAGAACAAAACAATAACAAGAAAATCCACAGTGACTGGCGATTAAACAATATTTTCCTGAGTAACATGAGCTGAAGAAGTGATTTCAAGAGAACTCCCCCCAAATTAAATATTGAGAACTAAGTCTTTTAAAAAAATTAACATTCCTTGTCACTTATTCAAGTGAACTGACAGTGTCTGCCCACACAAAAACTATCTCTGAGCGTTCATAGCAGCTTCACTCAACCCAGAGGTCCGCCTGTGGGAAAAGAGATAAACCAAGGTATACACCCGGGTAACAAATTTATTCAGCTCTGAGAAGAAACCAGTGTTCAAGCCATGCAAAGGCATGGTGGTCGCTTAAATGTACCTCACTGAGTGAAAGACGGTGAACTGAGAAGTCACGTGTGGCATGCGACTCCAACTCCATGAGCTCTAGAAAGAGCAAAACTTGGAGACAGTAAAAAGATCAGTGGTTTCTGGGTTAGGGGTGGGAGAGATGAACACACAGAACACAGGATTCTTAAGGCAGTGAAACTATTATTTGTGATATTCCAGTGGGGAATTAGTGGCGTTTTACACCTGTCAACAACTACAGAATATGGTATACTGAGTAAAGCCTGCTTGGTGGTGGTGGTGGCGTACGCCTTTAATCCCAGCACTCGGGAGGCAGAGGCAGGCAGATCTCTGTGAGTCTGAGGTCAGCCTGGTCTATAAGAGCTAGTTCCAGGACAGCCAGGGCTACACAGAGAAACCCTGTCTTAAAAGAACAGAGAGAGATAGAAAGAGAGAAGGAGAGAAGCCTGATGGCCCTAGCAGATAGGCCCAGGCAGCTCCCCATGAATTCTCGGCTAAAAACACTTAGGCTAAGAGCCCAAGGATCTCTCTTGGAAAATGCCATGGCTACAGGTACATGGTCACACCATCATATGGAATATTTCCCTGAATTCTAGTCTGTTTAGCTTCTCGGTAACCCAGAAGAACACAAAGAAGCAATTACTTTTATTAAGCATTGGAGATGAAGAACACAACGTCCAGAGGAATCAGATGACAATCACACCAGAAGTGTTGAAGCTGAAACTCTACCGGTCTCCTGGCTGTAGATTCTGAGGTTCCCTATGGTTCAGACTATCTCCCAGAAACCTCATACTTATCAGAAGAACCATCTTGCCTCTGGGATTCAGAATTCTTGCTATGTAGCCCCAAACCCCTTTGCCAATTTTGGATCTAGGAGGGGAAGGTACTCGGGACAAGTAGACCTACCCTATAGGTGAGCTACCTAAGGAAGAAAAACATTTAGGCACAGGGACTCAGTGTGACCAGACCAGGAGCAGAATGTGGGCTCTGTTTCTGGCCTAGAGCACATCACCGACAGGGAGCTTGACCCTTGTGTAGTTCTCTTCCTGCTGCCGGCTCCAAGCATCCCCCACCATACCAACATCTGGGCTTGCACCTTACTCATATTCTGTAGCTGCCAGCGTCCCACTTCAGTGTGGCATTAGGGAGGCCTGTGTGCCCTGGGTCTCTGCTGCCCTAATTTCCAAGCTAAGACCTAAATAGTGTGTCTAAATTTTCCTCGGGCCAATTTCTGCCCCAGATTCAACCTCTGTTGGCTAAGTGTCCTCGCCCCATTGGGGGCGGTGTCTCCCACTCCATCCCATGCTGGGTCTCCCAAGTCACCTGTCCTTAAAGTTTCTGACAGTATACCAAAGTCTCACTTTAAATGTACAGGATGCTATGGAGAAAAAGATCAAACTAACGGAATCTAGATGAGAGTGTGTAAACCTTAGGGTTCAAACTCACTATGGTGAGACCAACTCAGGGTCCCACTCCCTCATTTGCTCTTCCTGGGCACTGGGCACACATGTGGTGCACTGACGTGCATGCAGGCAATACACCCACACACATAAAATACTTTTGGGGGGGTGGGTTGAGACAGGGTTTCTCTGTGAAACGGTCCTGGCTGTCCTGGAATTCCCTTTGTAGACCAGGCTGACCTAGAACTCACAGAGATCCACCTGCCTCTGCCTCCTGAGTGCTGGGATTAAAGGTGTGGGCCACCATTGCCCGGCCATAAAATACTTTTTAAAGACACTTAATCCCATTTTCTACTCCAAATTAAAACCTTAAACCTTATGCCGGGCGGTGGTGGCACACGCCTTTAATCCCAGCACTCGGGAGGCAGAGGCAGGCGGATCTCTGTGAGTTCGAGACCAGCCTGGTCTACAAGAGCTAGTTCCGGGACAGGCTCCAAAACCACAGAGAAACCCTGTCTCGAAAAACCAAAAAAAAAAAAAAAAAAAACCTTAAACCTTGTTTTTCTTTTATTTGTAATCAACAAAAAGACTCTAAAGTCTATTTGGAAGGCTAAATGGGCACAGGAGGTGAAATTTTGGAAGAAAAATGGAAGTGGAGTCCTAGTGGCTTGAAATGAAGCCATAATGTAAAGCTGCCAGAATCAAAGTTGGCTTAGTCTTGCTTTTTCCATGGTTGCCATGCTCTCCTCTCACACTGGATGCTGTGACAGGACCTGGGGGTTTGAGACTTGTGCTTCTGACTTCAGGACATGTTTGAGAGTCCCATGAGGGCGGGTGGGGAAGGAGCGGAACTCCTGAGCTGAGTCAGTCAGGCACTGAGCTACAGCTGATGGCCTCAGCCCTGTGGCTGACCTGGAAGAGGACCATAAAAAGGGACAAGGCTGAAGGCAGGGGGTTGGGTCAGTCTCTGCCGTGAAGGCTCCTGTGAGCACCACTCTGCCAGGCCAGGCCTCACCCATGCAGGAGTTGCCCATAATTGAAAATAACATGAGCATCCCACGAGCTGAGAAAAACAGCTGCTCACTGAGCACACACTGCACGCACAGTGTGCCAAATGCTTTCAGTGTAACATCGTGCCTCATCTTTACAACATCCCTGAAAGGATGGATTTCATTATTTTCCTCGGGTTTTTGGATGAGAATATTGACATTCAGAGAGGTTAAGTAACTTGTCAGGGACCATCAAGTTAGAAGGACTAAGGCCACATACAACCCCAGGAAGCTGACTCCAGGGCTCCCCGCTTACTTACCACATGCCCTGCCCTTCAGGTGTGGGGACGGAACAAATGGTCAAATGGTTGAGACAAGAGTCCCCTTGGCCTTCAGGCTGCTTTAAATCTGTGTGAGCCTCCACAAGGCTTGTACTGCTGGTGCCAACAGGATGAAGGGATCTCTGATGTTCTCAGACCCCATCACTCTTATGTACCAGAAGCCCTCACCCCAAAACCGAGGCCATTACATCATCCTATGGATACCAGTAAAACTGCCTATGAAGTATTCAGACGGCTTTGTCTCTAAGACCTGCTCACTCATTTTTTCCCGAGGGCTCATGGGAGAAATGTTGCTTCCCACCAAGATGCTGGAGCAAGATGAAGACACTGTCCTCTGATGGTCTCGCTGCTCCATCCCACCTGAGGTCCCTCAGGCAAGTCTCTGGATGCCTAGTGCCCCCCACCACTAGTACCATCCCCTAATGTGGTGGTTCTCCACCTTCCTAATGCTGAGACCCTTAATTACAGTTCCTCACATTGTGGGGGCCCCCCAACCATATCATTATTTTTGTTGCTATTTCATAACTGTAATTTTGCTAATGTTATGAACCAAACTGTAAATATCTGTGTTTACGGATGGTCTTCGGTGACCCCCGTGAAAGAGTCATTTGACGCCCCTGCCCAAGGGGTTGTGGCCCACTGGATGAGAAATATTGCCCTAATGGCATCCATGAGGGGGAGCTGAGTCTTCCTGCGCAGTCACACTGGTGCTTACCTCCCTCTGCTCCCTCTGAAGGCACAGTTCTTCTGTCTCCTCCATCAGCTTGTCTGCCAAGGCAAACACACACTCACTGAAAACAGCAGGGTCCTGAAGGCAGGGGCCTTAGGTGGCCTCTGTCACCTAAGCCATCTCCCAGGGAAGGGGTCTGCCCTCCTAGTCAGAGGTAGGGTCCTGCTCTGCTGAGCAGAAGCTGTCCCACTGGCCCGAGCTGCCTTTCGGGTCATCTTCCCTGTTCTGTGCACCCATAGATCCACAGAGGACTTGACCGCGGAGGCTCGGATGGGTTTTCAAAGCCTGTGGTCTCTGCGGTTTCCTACTGTCTTGCCCGGTTAGTCAGAGAGGGCACATTCCAGGTAAGGGAGGGGTGAGGAGCCGGGGTCCTGGATGTCTCAGCCGGCTCCCAGGAAGAGGATCAACCCACGCTCATCATCTCCCCATGTCATTGAGGGTGTCATTGAGCAGACAGAGCATGGGGGCTGGATCCCTGCAGCTAGGTTTAAAGTGACTATGGTTAGAGATGAAGAGGATTGGCACAGGACTTGAGACTCAGGCAGGATAATATTTTTTCCACTTTTAGGTCCTTCAACCGAAGGCCTGACACGTTCACACACCCAAGGATTTTCCCTTTAAACTGCGCTCCACCCTATGTCTAACACGAGGGACCATTTTGGTCTCTTCTCTAAGGAAGAGGAAATTGAAGTTTATAGAGACTGGGTGACCTACAGATCCACACAACAGAAAGGTAAGTGACAGAGTTGGGTTTAAAGCCGAGTTCCTGGTCATGAGTCTCTCCTGCCTCTAGCTTCCTGGTCAAAAGGACATTTATCGCACCAAAATGCGCTCTAGGTGTCAAGCTCCCTGCCATTCCCCAGAGAGATCTCCCGTACCACTCTTCTCTGTCTGTCACCCAGGTTCCCAATTCCAGCTCACCCCGGTAACCAACCTAAATATTCCTGCTTCTCCTTAGCCAGCTGTAGCCCCTGTGCCTCCAGGCTTTTGATCATAGCTTCTCCTAACTGGGCATTTTTCCAGGTCCTGTCGAGGGAAGACAGATGGGAGAGAGGAGAAATACAAACAGTTAAACCAGAAGGAAGGCCCGGGGAGAAGGTGGTTGTACATTTTCTGTTAGCCTCTCTTCTGCCCCACAGAATCTTGGTTCAGTCTGGCACCCAGAGCTCTGGGCAGGCCACCAGCATTGATCAGTTACAGTAACTGGAGGCTGAGGTTGCAAAATGGGCCACAAGGACAGAGCCAAGAGCGCTCACAGAGGAGGGAAGAGGCTGTTTCTCTCGCAGCCTTCTACGCCACTGCATGTCCACCGTCTGATTCAAAGCTGGGTACTCGGTGTTATTGTTTGGGTTAGAAGATGAACTGGCTTGAACGGGCACGGGCTGTGTTGGTCACGTGGGTTCTGTGATTTGTAAACACCATCTCTGGTCCTTGCTAGGGTTAATTACAGGTCTCGGCAGGCAAGGTGGACATACTGGGGTGTTGAGTATGAGGAGCAATGATTGATTAACGCCTGAGAATTGGAGGCTTGTGGTGTCCACATCTGCCACCTGTCAGTGCAGACGCCTACCCGAACTCACCACCTAGGGCACCCTCATAGACGATCTATGGTTCTTCCCATACACCTTAGCCAGCTCCCACAGCCCTGTCTCAGGACCCAGCAAAGAGGCAGGTGGGTAGACCAGTCTCGCCCATCCGCTCTCATCCTGGCCCCTCAGAGACCCTGCTGGCAGACACTCAGACACTTACACCTTCCCAGACTCCTGCAGCATCTCGAGCCATTGCGTCTGCTCAAACTCAGACTCAGCAGCCAATAAGACATTCCCCTGCCGGGAAGAGGAGCCAGAGTGAGAGGTAGCAACTCCAAAGGAGAGGGAGGCAATCTCTTCTCTTCTCCCGCCCCCCAACAGGCCTGGGCCCTGACAGTCCTTTCATGTTGTACTATACAGGGTTATTTCCAAGGGATCAAGACAAAGCTCATTTGTCCTGTGGACCCTGGGCTAGGGGAAGGTCCCCACTCACATGGAAGTCCTGGTGTGAGATCTTCATGGCATAGGGCATGCTGGGCTCTTCTCTGGCCTCCACTAGGCAGCCGCCCAGTGGGATGACACCCTGAGGAAGAAGCAGAGCAGGCAGTTCCCACCCGACCCAGCTCACATCACTTAAGAGTCCCAGGAGGTCCTGGAGAAAGCCAAAGGCTTTGCTAAGCACTGCAGACGGGACCACATCCCAGGGTTATGATACCAAGGCTAGAACTGACTCCCAGAAGGAAGAGAGCTAGGGCTGGCACTGTGACTCAGGAAGAGTGTGTGTGTGTGTGTGTGTGTGTGTGTGTGTTTGTGTGTGTGTGTGTGTGTGTGTGTGTGACGGGGGACCCAGTGCAGAAGCTAGAAGGCATGTCTTGAGCCCTGAGAGGATTTGTCCTCCACATTCTACCCAAATCACACAACAGATAGTTCCCTAGCATCCCCGAGTGTCCCCAGTGGTCCCTCCCTCGCTGTGGCCCTGGAAAGGAGCCTCCTTACCTTAGGATGTATATTAAAGTATTTATTGGTCTCGAAGCTCTTTCTTTCACTCTCAGAGTAGTAAAGCAGGAAGCTTTCTTTGATGATGAAAAACCTAGGGGGGGGGGCATGAGAAAATGGTGAGATCTTGTGGGCCAAGAATACCCTTGGGGGCCCTGGACTCACGTGGAAGCCCGCGGGGACCCTAGCTCACACTGCACATGGCTCAGAGGGGCCTCAGATGACCTTCTGTATAGGCAGTGAAGGAGAGAGGCTCGTGGCTGGCTTCCAGGGCTGTCCCTTCAGTTCAGTAGGAACCTGTTGTCTTTCTCCTCAGGTCCCTTTACCCTCTGAACTACCCAGTACTCCAGTCACGTGGGAGCGCCTGTCTAGGTGTGGATGGACGATGAGACACACGGTTCTAGATGAGTGTTTTGGTGTAATCAAATGGAATCGGGTATCAACTGCTAAAGTCTGCAGCCCTGATACCCCAAGGTGATCCCTGCATTCTCTTTTGTTTCTGACTGCTCACATCCTCTTTCTGGGACTCAAGTTTAACTTGGAATCAAAGTGGCCATGGTACTTTCTGGGTACCAGGGAAGCAAATCCTCCATGCCAACAGGTACATTCTTTGACCTGTCTTGGGGACCCTTACAGAACTATCAGTGGAAACTTTAGGAAACCAAGTGTGCTCCAGGGGGAGCCCCAGTTAGGTCACAAAGCTCCCAGGGCTTAAAAATGCCAGAGTTCTCCTTCCTCCAGGGACACTGCTCTGATGTGACCTGAAACGGATCTGGAGGGATCCTGAGTTGTGAGGCATGCACCTGTGCATGCATATGTGTGTGTGTGTGTGTGCATGCATGTGTATGTGTGTGTGTGTGCACATGTGTGTGTGCACTCCTGGGCGTATACACAGGGAAAAGTTCAGAGCAGTGACACAGTGGAACCTGCTAGGACAGACTCACAGTGGTCAACGGTGTGACTCTCTTAGCTGCTTAGCATTCAGTGACATGACACTGGCGACAATAGAGGCCACAGCAGGAGTATTTGTACTATGAAAATCAAATGCTGCAGAATCACCCCAAGAGCCTGTTATTAAACTGTTCCCTTCTGATGAGGAGCTTGAGAAGATGCTGGTGGCATCAAGAAGTCAGAGGACCCCTTCAGGTTCCACCATTCCCATGATCTTTCCTGTGACCACAGCGACTTATGGGGCAGAGTGGAGGGGCAACCTGAATGGCTGCAGCAGCCCCTTTCCCGAGGGAACTTAAGCTCAACTTCATACTTTGTTGTGAGTTCATAATTTTGTTCTCCCACTCCCTTTTGAGATGGAGGTCTTGCTGTGTTGCTCAGGGTGGTCCTGAAATCATAGACTTGAGCAATCCCCCCATCTGCTGAGACTGCAGAGCAGTCTGACTTCAGCCCATTTTCTGTGTTGTGCCAACCATCCAGTAGCCACAGAACAAATGCAGTCCTGGCAGACACTGTGTTTGGGTTCTTGCACTTGGCACCGAGTACTCCCTGGCACACCTGAGTGCTTCTTTATCTGGAGAGGGTCACTGGGTTCCTGAAGGGTAGGACCATGCCATATCAGTCCCATGGGAAAGACAGATGTCCTCCGATGGTTCCAAAAGAAAGTTACAGAGTACGTAAGAGCTTAGACCTTCCATTTTCCAGCTTGGGGATGGGGAGTTTGGATAAAGACACTCAGCTCCCTGACCCTCAGTCTCTATAGAAGAGAAATGAGGACACCTGCATTCTGGGATGGAAGTGGGGACTGAATGAGACCGGAGTCATAACCTTGCTCATGTGTGAAGGACCCAAGGTGGGGTGGAGTGATGCATGGCCTGGCGAGGTCCCCTGCAGGAAATGCAGGCAAGCAGAATAGAGTTGCCTCCCCACTCCCACAATAGTATGACACGAACCCCTTTCTATGTTGACTCCCTATCTGCAGAGGGATTCTGTGTCTGCACACAGGATTTTTAGGCAGTATCTATGGTTCAGCGAACTAATAATTAGGCAGGACCACGATCTAATGGAACTGTGGCTTTATAAAAGAGGAACCTGGACTGGAGGTGTAGATAATGGTCGTTAGTTAATGGTCGTTTGTCTAGCATTCTCCAGTACCAAGTAAACTAGCATTGTAGTACACACCGCTAACCTCAAATACTCAGGAAGTAGAAACAAGAGAATAAGAAGCTCAAAGTCAGCCTCCGCTATGTAGTGAGTTCAAAACCAGCCTCAGCCACATGAGGCTCACTAGTGGCATATGCCCCTAATCCCAGCATGTGAGTCGCTGAGATCCAAGGACTACAAGTCTGAGGTCAGCCTGAACTGCACAGAGAGCCCCTATGTCAAGAAGAATCAAAAAAAGTAATCTCCGAAGAGAAGGCAGATACCTCAGACACAGGGCCCACAGGTACCAAAGTCCGGGCTGAGCTGTACTTGGTTCTAAAAGGAACCAGAAGGCTGGAGCAGAGGAAGCAAGACTGCCATCCCTATATCTAGACTACCGAGGGCCTGGGGCTACTGTGATAGCAATAATGGCAGCACTTACATTTACTAAGCCCTTACCGCCCCAACCTACCCGACTCTACAGTTACCCTCCCAGGCAGGTGCCCCATGCTTCCTGTGTGCAGACACAGAGCAGAGAGCTGGCACAAGGACCTGAAACTCCCTGGTAGAGATTGGCTTTCTCTCAGAGTAAAATGTCCATGTATGTGTGTGGTGGTGGGGCTTCAGCAGGAGTGACGTGACCTGACTTACACAGTAAAAGGCTAGCCCTGGCTACTGCATGGGAAACAGATTGTCCTGGCATAAACAGGGGATCTGCTAAAAAGCTATCGCCACATATCACTGGATGCAAGTGGTATGTAGAGTGGATCGAGGCATGTAGAGTTCCAGGATCTTCCTGACACACAGGGCGTCCCCAGAGGCTACCCCTCTCCTAAAGCAAGCCCAGAAAGGCAGAGGAGAACACTCCAGGCAGCCTCTGCTCCACGGCGGCCACACTTCAGCAGGCTGAGAGTCGACATGGACTGCCACGTGAGCCATACCCAGCACAGACCTAGAGGCCGAGGGCCAGCTCCTACCCACCATGGCTCATCTGACAAGACCCACAAGATCTTTGCTTGTCAAACAGCTGTGGTGGTGGCCACTCTGGTTGATGTCTTTTGGCTTCTCAGCAGCTGAGACCCTTGCAAGTCTAAAGAGGCGTTCCTCTTCTCATACCTTCCTTCAAAGTTGCCCTGTTCTAGACACCCTCATTCAGGATGCAAGGCTGGGGCGCCCCTTTTGGGTCCTGCAGAGCTGGACAGCCAGTGTAAGGGCTGGTCACAGCTAATACGTAATTTCTACGTATTAGCTTCTGTGAGGCTGAGAGCCTGCCTCTCGGAACAATGCTGGAGGTGAGGGCTTTCACTTCCGGTTCACAGGTGAGGAAAGAAGGGCTTGGATGTGAGGTAACACACAAAGCCCTACAACTGCAGATGAAGGATCGAAACCCAGAACAATCACACCCTCCTCCCACCCCCTATATGGCTCGCGGAGCTGCTGTCCTGGCTCAGGACACACACCCAGAAGAGAGACTGTAGGAAACCAAACTGCAGTAGGCAAGGTGGGAGTCCATTAGATACCAGCAGTGGTGGGGCAAGGATCTAGTCTTCTAGGCCCCAGGTCCCGTGAGGAGCTTGAAGACGATAATTAAAGGCTATTATTTCTCCTGCCTGGGAAGGAGGGAAATGAGCCTCATCACACAGAGGCTTAGCTCCTAGCAAACACACGAGAAAAGTTCATTAGTCCTCTGATTACTGCGATTCCTTATTCTTAAGCTCAGCGTCTGTGCAGCCAGCCACTCTGCCCCCCTTCCCATTCGGGCTCACACAGCAGCTACCGAAGAGAACATGGCTGCAGGCCAACTGGCTGGCTTCTTGCTTTCCAAACACATGTCACAGCCATGTCCTCCTCCTGTCTGAAGCCTCCCCACCTCCACATCTGTCCTTGGAGAAGCTTTACTGTCAGCTTTTGCTTTTAGCTCTCCTGGTTACAGGAAGCCTGGAGTGTGTGCGCGGGAAAGGTTTCATGTCGGTCCTGGCTGCCTCCTCTCTCTAGAGGGTTTATTAGCACTACTATCATTATTATTTTATTATTGTGTCTCAGATGCTCAGGCTGGTCTCAGAATCACCGTATAGCTGATGCTGACCTCGAACCTCTGATCTTTCTGCCTCCACTCCTGAGCACTGTGGTTATTTATCGGCGTGAGTCACTATGCCTGGTTTATGGAGAGCTGAGAATGGAGCCCAGGGCTTCATGTGCACTACACAAGCAATCTACCAAACGAGCCATGCCCTCAGCCCCTACCCTGCTATTTCCACCCCCAGATGGAAGAATTTAGAAGTCAGCAAGGTAGGCCCTTCGCTGCACATACTGTATTGACATTATCTTATTTAAATGTCTCTACGTGATGGGTGGGATGTTTGTTTCCTAGTACACTGGTAAAGAAACTGAACCACAGTGAGACCGAGCCGCTGGTGAGTGGTAAACTCGGAGCTCTGTTGCCAAAGCTCAAGTTCTCGGCTGCCTGTGCCCTGTGCTGCCAGTACTCCCCACCACCATGTCCTGCTGTTGGCTCCCTTGAGCTGATCACTGCGGAACGGCTGCAGTGCCCACTTGGCTCAGGTCAGAGACCTGTTATGGTGCCAGTTGCCCCACCTAAGCAGGTGCCGTGCTGGGCCCTGACAGCTCAATGAATCTCTGCCCCGAAAGAGCTCAAGAGTTGAGTGCAGGAGAGAGCATGTGTAAAGAAAGAATTTTAAAACGGCTAATGTATATCAAGCTCCTTCTTGGCACCAGGCCCTGTTTGATCAACCACAGGTTGTGTAGTAATTCATTCGCTGCTTATTCAAGGTCGGTGACGGAACTGGAATACAGAGAAATTCAGGATATGCCCCAGATCACACAATGGGTGAACGGGGAAGCTAACAGTATTGAGTGCTAGACTATAGGGTGACACCGTCAGGCCATCGGAATACACAGCTGCACAGAGTGCCAGATGCCGTGACCCTGCGGAGCACCGGGGTGCATTAGCGTGACGTTATAACATAGCAGGGTGCGTGGCAAAGTTACACGGCACCTGGAGAATACACGGAGATTACAAAGGACCAAGACACGGAGTAACAAGAGAAGTCGGTGTGAAAAGCAGAAGCAGCTTAGGGTTTGACCGAGGTCTGAGCGGAGGTCATAACGGAAGAGGGTTTTGAAGAAGAAAAGTCTTAAGAAGTTGGAGGAGGGGCTGGAGAGCAAGCGACGTTCTCTAGACATAGAAGGGCATCTGTGGAGAACAGTGTGCTCAAGGTTATAAAATATGTCTGCTGTTATAAGCAGATAAGCTCTAAAGGGGTGGCAGGGGAGGGGTCTGTAAACAGGGGCTGAGAGCGGGCAGCCCCCACACCCTGCACAGATAGCAAACAAGTCCTGGGAGGTCAATTTGTGGTTTTAGAATTAAGAGAGGTGGCCCTGAGGAGGTCACATCTGGGCAAAGGGGTGAAGCAGTTATTAGAAGGTAAAAATCAACAGAACACACTGAATAGTCAGACAGGAGCAGGATGACCTAAGTCCCATGACACCACGGCCAGGATGTTAGTCTGACTGACAGGATGACACACAGGTGTCATCTAACATGATGGATTTTCAGAGCGTGGCTTCCCTTCCCTCTACCCTGTGCTCTGAGTCTAAGGGCCCAACCAGAGCTTAGTGGTTAAGGCTGGTCTCCTGAGAGAGCCAGTGGAGGCAGAGAAATATGTTCAGAGCACACATGCCATGTATATCAGACAGGCCTGGGGCTGTTAAAGAAGGACCAGCCTGGGGCTGGAGAGATGGCTCAGTGGTAAGGGCTACTGGCTACTTTTCCAGAGGACCTGACCTGGGTTCAGTTTCCAACACCTACATGTCAGCTCACAACCATCTGTAACTCCAGTTCCAGAAGATCCAATTCCCTCTGTGGCACAGCATACACAAGATGTACAGATATACATGCAGGCAGAACACACACACACACACACACACACACACACACACACACGATACAAGTAAGTAAAATCTTAAGAAGAAGAGGAAGAAGAAATCAAAGCAGCAGCAGCAGCCAGTCTGGTGTCCTGAGCTCCCTGAGCTTTGTTTTGGGGATGTAGACCGCATGAGAGAAACTTGAAGTTGCGGACATCACGTAGGACGGAAAGGAGGTGTGATGGTGAATACAGAGGAGGGAGGGCCTCAGTAGCATGCATGAGTCTGGGTCAAGAAAGTGGCATTGCTTGTATATTGTATACATACATACAAGCAGGCATGCACAAACAGATGTAAATTTAAAAAAAATTGATAAAACCTAAAGTCAACACACAAAAACTGGAAGAAAGGTGTCAAATAAAATAGGCTTCAGAAAACAGAGCAAAGAGCCCGCCTGAAGGCGCTTGCCCTTCTGTGATGTCCCTTAGCTTCCACATTGCCACACTTTCCCTTAAGCGTAGTTTGCTCTGCTCCCAAGACCATGTGATTAGCGGTAGGAGGCAGTGGAGATGGCTGGGCTGCAGGTGGGGAGGCTGAGGAACCAGCCAAGTTCCACCTGGAGCATACAACACCTGCTGGGGAGTATAAGCTACAGGACTTAGACTTCTGTGGGAGTTTCCGTCTTGGAGCCAAGGTTATCTTGCTCCCAAGAGGGCAGCAGGAACCTACCCAAGGTCTGGTTTCCCAGCAAGGAGAGGGCGAGCCAAGTTCTGGAGGCACCATGGTGGTCTGTGGAGGCTGAAAACTGCAGGTCCATTTCCACCTTGTCTGCTGGTCAGAGAGTTTGGAGATTGACAAGCATAGTTGTATGTCCTAATGTAGGAGGTGACTGATTCTTTTGAAATTAAGATAGTTCAATACCATCCTGACAGGTGGTCAGGATATGTATGGTCAGGATATGTACGGTCAGGATATGTATGCAAATGAATTTCTGCTCCTTCTGTTGTAACCAGGGAAGGGTGGTCTTCAGCAGCTGTGACTTAGAGATCTTAGCTACCTAGAGGACAGAATGCTAGTGATTTGATGCCTCAGAGTGATAAGGCCACTGATTGTGTGAGTTATCCTTTTGTATCATGTTAATAAAGTCTTTTGTTACCTTCTCCCCCAGTTTACATAGGGTAAAAAGCTGTGGAAAAATAAACACAGGTGAATTTCAGGATTTCAGTCACTGGAATGCCCTCCTGATTCTTTCTATGTTTTCTGTCTTATTATTTTTATGTGTCTTCATATTCTTTATTTATATCTCTTCAATTCTCACGCCCCTACTCTGGTTAGAAGTAATTTTTGTGGAGGCCCGTCCTCGACAGTGGTCTCAGAAGGGCATCCCATGAACCCCTTGCTGACCCTGACTGAAGCCAAGACCGTCCCCTCCTCCTGCTCAGAGCACCTCGGTCTCTGCATCTGCATTTCTGCTACCCCCAGAGGAAGGAGGGGGCTGTGGTCATTTGTTCCCTAGACACCTCTCAAACCCCTCCTTTCTCTGTTAATGAACTCTTCGATTCCCTTCTTTCTGTCCAGAGGAAAATAAACTAACGAGGAAGGCATCTTCCCACTGCAGTGTGGGCAAGGTGGGGATAGAAATGGGGGACACTGGACGCTCCCCCTAAGACAGAGCCTGAGGAGGAGAGGTTTTACAGAACTCAGCCAGCCACAGCCAGTTCCGTCCTGCCTAATGGTTGGTTATTTATGCAGCCCCGGGCCTTTCCAGGCTCTTCCCCTCAGCTGCCCACTCGGGCATCGATCTCCCTAATGGCAAGTCTCTGCAGTGGTGGGTGTTGGCTGCCCTGTCCCGAGCCTTCCTGTGGCCACTAATTAGCTGAGGTCCAGAGACTGCACTTCACAGATGGGAAACTGGAGCCCGGAGACCCTGCCAGGAAGCAGGAGAAGGCTGGCTGAGCTGGGCATGGGGCCTAATTCTAGATTCTGACTTTTTGACGGCTGTTGCTGACTCAAGGGGAAATCATGTGTGTTGGGGCGGAGGATGGGGAGGCATTCTCCCAGAGGTGGGAACACAAAGGTCTAGAGCTGGCAGGTAAGATGCTGTTTTCTGAGCCGCAGAGCAGGGAGAGTCTTTGCATGGTGACAGCCCTGGAGTGAGGAAGGTGAGGGGTTGGCAGTGTCTTTCAAAGGGTACAGAGTTTGGCTTGGCACTGGGACCTATTGTTTTGACTTAGACTGGTTTGTTTTGGGTAACTGTAGGGACAGCAGATGGAGTTTATCAGGGCCCCAACCCAAGTGCCCCAGCGTCTACAACCATGATTTTAGCTAACAGGTTTTCTGACATTTATCCGCCCCAAATCAACTGTGTATGCAGTAGCCAGGTCCCCCATACTTGCAGGGGAAAAGAGAACCAGGAGACCCAGCTAAGGGATCCCAGGCACCTGCCACATCATGGAAGCCACCAGGTGAAAATGCCTGGCGGGAAAAGTCTTAAACAAGGACAAAAAGTCAGGCCCGATGGAGAGAGAAGACTGCCTGAGGTAGCTCAGGACATTCTGCACAATAGCTACCCCACGCCTCACCAATGCTCAAGCTCACAGGACTCACACAAGTGCTGAGGCAGAGACTGGATGCTCCTGGCCCTCGGTGGCTACAGTTCCAATGGTGCAGCCCTGGGAATCTCTCATAACCTTCACCCTGCTCCAAGCCTTCACTTAAAGTATCAGAGAGAAACTCAACTTGGGAGGGACTGGGGGGGGGGCTGGATCCCATTAAATCCCCAAGAGAAATCAGCCAGAAGTAATAAAAGGGTATGAAACGTCTCCGCAAAACGTGAAAGCCCATCCACACCTCCATTTGTTCTGAGGTCTTACAGGAATAGTAAATTATTCATCAAAAATCGAACATCTGCACTAACCACCACCACCACAAGCACATGACCTGCGGTCCTGAAAACGTCCGAGGCACTCAGACTCCTGGTGTGGGATGGAGAAAGGGCTGTGGTCCCAGGAACGGTCCCTCCCTCCAGGGAGGGGCTGGGACAACGTCTTGAGTTTTCTAGACACCAGCAATAAATCTCAGTTAGCTTGTGGATGAAAGCGATGAAGAAAAACGGTCCATTGCCCTTGCAGCCAGCTTTGGGAGGTTCCTGCACATCCAGGTCTTGTTCTCCGTCTCCCAATACCTGTCAGGGCCGTTTGTACGTAGAAAGTCGTGTTTATCTAGGGCCTTCATTTGGCGTTGCTGAGAACGGGGCCAAGGTTGCTCTGTGTCTCCACAATACTACTCCAAACATCAGGGGTGGACAGGACCAATCTACCTTCTCTCCCACTCCAACTTCAGGGCTGTGTGTGTGTGTGTGTGTGTATGTGTGTGTGTGTGTGTGTGTGAAGGCACAGTTGGAGGGGTTGTGGTTACAGGTTTGTGGTTCACTCTGCTGAGTGTTACAGAACGCCAAGTGATCTGCTGAACAGAGAGTGGCACCCGTCTCCCAGCCCACTTTAAGCCTCAACAAAGGGATGGAATTGGCTATGGAGGTCTCTGCAGAATCTCTGGCTGTTGACGGGAAGTCTCCTTCTGCCAGTCTCCCCCAACTTAACCTCAGTCTCTCTAGCCCACATGCAGCCTCGCCACTTGGGACCCGGGACTCAGTTCATTCCTCAGGGAATTCCCGGCCACTATAGGCCAGTGATTTCATTCTAACTTCGGCGGCCAATTAAAGTCGCACATTGGGGGACAGCACAGGGAGAAACTAGCTGGGCGGGCCAAGGTCACAGAGGAAGGCTGAGGCAGGGCGGTGACTAGAGGAGTGGGAGGGGTCCTGAGGCCCCGGGGCTCCCTCCCAAGGCGGGGAGGGGAGGTCTCCGGGGACCGGGGCACTCACTTACCGCCTGGACCACTTGGCCGACGATCTCCCGAACGGCCGCTTCCACAGAACCCCGTAGAGCTGCACTTTGGTGCTGATGTCCAGCGCGTCCGCGTCGGCCTGCTCCAGGGACGGCGATGGCGACACAGAGTTAGACTTGGACGTGAACATCCTGTCTTGGAGGCGCTGCCCCGGCCGTGCCCACCCCTTTCCTGGGACTGGAAGGGACAGGGAGGACAGCGAGAAGCAGTGGGCGCGACGAGCAAAGGCAGCTCGGGACGCCGTCGGGGCTCGTCCTAGCGAGCGGAGCCGGACGCCGAGGGGCTCGGGAACCGCAGCCAGCGCCTGGGACGAAGCTCGGGAGCGCCGCCGGCTGGGAGGGAACTCCGCGGGGAGGGCAGCTCCGCCGTAGGCTCGCAGCATCCACTCTCCCCCACCCCCTCCCGCGCAGGCAGCCTCAATTCTGGTGGCCTGGATTGGCTGGGAGTGGCAGGTGAGCCGGCCGCAGGCCAGCGGCGAGCGCCAATGAGGGCAGGCGCCGGCTGCAGAGCTCAGCTCAGAGAGTCCTCAGGGTCCCGGCCTGTCGCTCGGCCGGGGATTTGGCCATTGCACCTCCCCATACCCACCCAGGCGCCCAGCACTCTCCCAGTTCCTTATAATCTGTGGCCCCTACGTCAAAACGAGGGCTGGCTAGGTGTGCGTGGTGAAGAGCAGGGTCATTTGCAGAACTGGACTTGTGATTCCCACTCAGGCTTTCAATGACTTTGCAAACCTCTGGACCGTGTTTTTCTCACCTGCTTGGGGCAGGCCGGTGTCCAGCTAAAACTTTTTGGTAAGTGCCCAAAGACCCGCCTTGTAGAAAAGGTTCCAGCAAGGTTCAGGACCCTTCCCTGTCCCCACAGGTGGGTTTCACTTTGCACTGCTGCGCGACTGTCTGGACCAGATCGAATTTCTTTTCCTGGCACTTGGCAGTCTGTGCTGGCATTTGACACTCGGCGTCAATCTCAAACTGTCAAGGCAGCTTGTGTTCGTGATTTATCTGTGCGTCTCCGGTGCTCCACAGGGCTAGGTGCTCTGTCCCCTTCTGCTCTCAGTGAGGGCATTTGTTGACCGCATCACTCTGGCCAGGCCTCAGGACTGCCTTTGGCCTCCTTCTCTGCAGGTGGAAAGGCACTCCAAAAGTGAAGAAAGGGTTTGTTTGCATACTGGAGCCGCACCCCTCCCTCTCCCCCTTTGAGTCTTTTCCAGGTTAAGAACCCACCAGCCCTCAGAGGCAGCCATAATTCACCGATGCCCTTAGTGAAATAAAGAAGTGAAACTGCATCAGAGTTAACAAATAGATGGGTAATCTGAGAGCCAGATCACTTTGCTCAGACTTGATGAATTTGCCCTGAGCAAGCAACATTGAGGTAGTTAGTATACCATATCTCCAGGGCTCATTTGATGAATGCGAACCCCATGTAACCACCACCCAAAGCAAGAGACCGACCTCTCCAGCCCTAGCACCCTTTCCAGTCAACCCACAATCTTGCCTCACTTTTCATCGTTTGCTTAATTGCCTTAAAATATTTGACCTGAATGCCCTAAAAAAGGCATCCTTCAAAGACTTCACTGTCACCTTCTCTTGTTGTCTTATCTGCCCAGCTTTTCTTCTTTATAGTCTATAAAACTGTTTTTATCTTCCCGAGAATCAAGCCTGGGGCCTTCTGAATGCTCGGCAGCTGCCCTACCATTGAATTGCATTGTCCCTTGCAGGCACTAGGTCCCTTGCAGGTGCTCAGGCCCTTGCAGGTGCTCAGGCCCTTGCAGGTGCTCGTTTATAATCCTGATCCTGGATGCTTTACTACTTTAGGAGGCCTGCAAACACAAACAAACCAAACACACACACACACACACACACACACACACACACACACACACAATGGAAACTTGCACCAAGAGCCTTTGGTACTGTGTTCCCTGGAGCACAGCAGGACCTTGAATTGCAGGTGGTAAACACAGGAAGTAGCACGCACTGGCACTTGCTTTTCCAGGGAAGCAGGTGGCGAAGGCACCCGACTTGCGTCCAGAGGTTTCTATGGCTTCTGGGCTGCCTTGCTGAGGCAGCAGTAGCAAGGGTGCCCACTGCAGTGGGAGTCACTTGGAGTCAGAATCCTGGCAGCACCTGACAGCAGCAGCTAATGCTCTGTGGCATGGGCAGGGTTTGAAGGATTGTTCTAGAAACTCCCCCTCAAGCCTGGCTCTCTGGCCCTCCTGAGAGCCTTTTAGCAAACTCATTCTGTCTCCTGAATCGGGTCAGTGGCAGCCCTGGCCTTGTGGTAAAGGCCAGTGATGAGCTTGTGAGCCATGGCACGGGTAGAGCCACTCGTGAGAAATTTTTCAAGGGGAGGGGCTGAAAAAGCCCAGGGGCTCCTGGGAAATGTTCTGTGATGGAAGAAACGGAGCCTAGGTTTCTTTAATGGTCGAGAGAAGCCAGTCTTGCTCATTTCATCTGCGTGCAGGGTATCTGGACAGCCTTCAACTAACAGTTAAGGTTGGGTAGAAAAACTGTAAGAGGCACGCAATGAGATACTTCAGCGGTTCTCTTCCCCTTGTCAGACAGCCCGGATGCCGCCAGGTCAGGCATGGGCAAAGCTTTTCTGTTCCCACTGTGTTCTCTGCCCAGTTGACGGGTGTCTTAGTGCACAGAGTCCTGGGGAAGACAAACAAGCCAGGCCAGAGGACGAGTAGGTGGGGGGTGCCTAAGCATTCTTTTCTTTATTCCTCCCTTCCTTTCTTTCCTAGAGATAGAATCTTGCTATGTAGCCCAGTGTAATAAGAGACTGTTGTTTCCTGACAGCTCAGACCCGAATAACCATATAGAAACCATATTAATTACAACACTGTTTGACTGATGTCTCAGGCGTATTTCTAGCTAGCTCTTACAACTTAAATTAACCCATTTCTATTATTTTATATTTACCACGAGGCTGGTGGTTTATTACTCCTTGCTTCTTGGGCAGTTACATGGCATCTGCCTTCTTTGGCAGCTACATGGAGTCTCTCTGACTCCACCTACTCTCTCTATATATCTCTGTTTGGATTTCCCACTTGGCTTTACTCTGCTAAGCCATTGGCCAAAACAGCTTTATTCATCAAACAATAAAGCAACACATACACAGAAGGATATCTCACATCGGCCCTGGTCTCAAATTTGTTATCCTCCTGCCTCCACTTCTGGAGTGCTGGAATTACAGGCATGTACTACATGCTTGGCCAGGATGACCCAGTCTTAGCATTCCAATGAGATTAGGGTGGAAACTCAGGCTAAAGGTTGCCCCCAGCCTCCTGGTTAGGTGTGGTGCTGCTGTTCTCAGTGTACCGTCTCCAGTTCACCTAATTTAGCTAATTGTGGCAAGAGGCTAAGGGCAACACTTGAATCTTCATTGCCCCATGAGAAAAATCAAGATGAAAAAGGTTTATCTAACTTTTAATTCAAGTCTGTTGAGTCATATGTCCCCAGGAATTTATGGACTTCTAGATCTTCCATCTTTTTGGAACACAGGTTTTCAAAAATATTCCCTAATAAGCCATTTGTATCTGCTGGAACGGCACCACGCCCCACCCCCATGCCTTTCATCTCTCTTTTCTCAGACAATGTCTCGCTGTGCAACCCTGACTGGCCTGGAAGTCACTGTGAAGACCAGGATGACCTTGAATTCATACAGATATCCTCCTGCCTCTGTCTTTAGAGTACTGGGGTTAAAGGTGTGTGCCACCATTTCTTGCTCTAATCTTCCTAATATTGATCTTCTCTTTTTCTCTTATGATGAGTTTTGCTAGGCTTCCTTAGCCTTATTCCCCAGGGAAAGGCGAGTGTGTTTATCTGCCTGTTCCACAGCCCCATGACACAGGACAATCAGACGCGATGGGAGTCAAGTAAAGCAGAACTTAGTTTATTACTGTGTCAGCTTATATAGGTTAAGTGACATCATGTGATGTAGGGGCAACTTCAGCCAATGAGAGACAGCCAAGCCCTCCCTCTGGCTGGAGGGGTATTTTGCTGTCTCATCCTCGGTAGCTTTGAGACTCCCTCAAACTCAAGCCAGGCTTTTCTCTGTCCTACAGGCCTCGCCCTGAGATAATTTTAGCTCAACAGAGCTTGGCTAAAAGCTGCCAATCTTGTTTGTCTTTCCAAAGAACAAACTCTAGGTGTGGGGAGGTGGCCCTGTGGTTAAGGGCATTTGTTGCTCTCTTGTAGAGGACAAGGGTTCAGTCCCCAGTACCACATGGTGACTCACAACCGCCGGTAACTCCAGTTCCAGGGGATCCGGCGCCCTCTTGTGACCTCTGTGGGCACCAGGCACACATGTGGTACACATACATACATGCAGGTAAACACTCATACATATAAATAATCTTTAAACTATTTCAAAAGAACTGTTTAACTTTTTGTATCTTCTCAGTGTGTTTCATCACTATCTTCTGCTTTGGCATTTGGCTTGTTCTTGTTTGCTAAGACGCTGAGGTGCACTGTTTAGTTGTTTCTGTTTTTTAAGTTATCTACCACTCAGGAGAAACACTTCTGTAATCCAAGTATTCGGGAAGCTGAGGCAGGAGGATCACAGCTTGGAGATCAGACTGGGCTACATAATGAGACACTGTCTCAAAAAAAAAAAAGTTGGGCTGGAGAGATGGCTCTGAGGTTAAAAACACTGACTGCTCTTCCAGAGGTCTTGAGTTCAATTCCCAGCAACCATGTGGTGGTTCACAACCATCTATAATGAGATCTGGTGCCCTCTTCTGGTGTGTAGGCAAACATGCAGGCAAAACACTGTATAATAAGCAAATCTTTAAAACAATAATAATAATAATAATAAGTTGTGTACCCAAGGTTACATAGCTAGGCTTTCCCTGAAACATGCCTGGGTCTGTGTATACATGTGGAGTGGGGCAAGCTGTCGATCAGACATCTTGATTTGCTCTGAATCTAGACTTTCCCACTGCAGTTCACGGCTTGTCAACTGTAGTGGGAACTTGGGAAATGCTAAGCCACTTTGAGTATTCTCCATGTTAGTCATTTCTCAATTGAGAACTTACCTGAGGGTTCTTTAAGGGTTATCTAAGGGTTCTTAGGATGTATTTTACGTGTTCATATGTTTAGTTGGGTGAGTTTTGTGTGCACCATGTGCAGGAGCCCTGAGGAGGCCAGAAGAGGGTGTCAGACCCTCTGGAACAGGAGTGTTAATACCCCACTCTACGTGAACAGCAGCCTCCAGGAAGGAGCTGTGTGAGGGAAACCTGATGGGGTTGCAGCTCTCGGCTCTTAGACACAAGACCAACTTCCACACTCAGAAAAGACAATAAAACATTCCCTGAAGGGAAATGGAGACAAGGGCTTCCCTGGCATCAGACCC